TTTTCTCTATAATTAATAATAAATTATATTGAGATCGAAATCTGACTAAAATTTATGAATTATGATTATAAACAATTCTAAGTCACTCATATACTTTACAAATTTATAATAATAATTTCAATTAATAATTTTAACATTTATTTAATTCACAAAGAAGTTAATTAACACACTGATATCTGGAAATCCTCAGCGATAGGAATGTGAAATTGAATTGAAGATATTATGTAAGGGTCAGATCTGATTCATGATAGTATACAAGGTTCACGTCAACAGACTTTAAGTTAAGAAAGTGGTTTCTAGATTTGAATCGAATCGGACGCTTTGAACTTAAAGATGGTTAACAGGAATCGAATGAAAAAGGATTGAAAGAGAATCACATTCTATGAGAAATTTAGATGTGCTTCGTGGTTTCTTGTTGCTTTAATTGTTCAAACAGTCATTAGATCGAGTATCCAAGATATTGCTTGTTTATTTTATATATATATATATTTTCTTTCTGTATATATTTTAATTTAAAAATTTATTAAATTTTTATTCAAATCTAGTCCAAATATTTTAAATTTTCAGAAATTAATATAATTCATTTTATTTTCCGTAAATTTTTTCATTAAATCATTAATCTTTCAAAAATTATGAGAATTCAGAATTACTTATTAATCAATATTTCATTATTAAATAGATTTTTAATGATATTATGAAGATTTAAAGAATTCCTTATTCTTTAACAAATATGTACTATTAATCTATAATATAAAATTAAAATATAAACTATTATTTCTATGCAACTAATAGTACATATTTTTCTAATATTAACAAGACAAGCAGAAAATATTTTACAAAAATAAAATGCATGTAAATTCATTGACCATTTAGCACATTATCATATTAAACGATTCGACTGGAATTATATATCCATCTAATCGAGTCATTATTCTCAAGCAGATTCACATGCAGAAACGAGCGGAATTACTGTTTAATGTGAAAGTTCCAGCAAATTTTATCGCGAAACTTCTCTTCCTTCATTTTAAGAAGAAAATTATGAGAATGAAGCTTATAAACGGAAACTTATTTACCTTGTCACTATCCAAGTATTAAAAAAAAAAAAGTTGTAAATTTATATCACAAAAACTGTCACGTAGCTATTATTTGTCATTCTATAATTTATTACTAAGTAATATTGATCCTCGCCAGTCGATAATTATAAATTGAATGATTTCGTTTCCATAAAAATTGTTTTACGATATGAATTTATCATTCCAAATTTACAGAACAGAAAAAGAAACAAAAAAAAAAAAAAAAAAGATGAGATTCTCGATAAAAATAATCGACTTGGAAAATAATTCATTTTGAATATAATTAATATATCAATTTAATATCTATTCTATTTATATTCGAAAATATTAATAATCTCTAACTTTTTTTCATTAATAATTCCAAACTTCCTCCCGAATAATATAACATCTCTGCCTTTCACAATTATTACATTAACACCCTCGCCCTTCGAAATTGAGAAATTCAAAACTTCCGCCTGTAAATTGTTTCTCATAATTCAATTACCCTTAAGTTTTACTCGTCACCTACATCAAACGTGGAATTACTGTTTCTGATGGAAAAATCACCAGACCACGACCGATTTAATTACACAAAACAATCCATCCGAACGGGGTTGTACAAATTGGAAAGGAAGGAATGATAGGGAGGGGCCACCGAGTCGCTTTCACGGACTTCCCTCTTAAAACACGGTATAACTCCGTGGAAAGAACTGGAACTTGTTTTACAGCGGGCAAAAACTTCCTTCTTTTCGTGAAATGAAAACGAACACGAGAATCGCGGTTTATTCCCATCGTCGAATCCGCGGCTCTTTACGCGGTTTCGTCCGGAAACAGCTTTTACCATTATTAATCGTGGAATTGATCAACTAATGCTTGGAAATCGGGACAACGAGGATTGAGAAAAGAATTCGACGAGAGTTTGAAAGGGAATTTTCCTGAAGATGGATAGTTTAGGTAATATTTTTGGATTGTGAACGAGAGGATGAAAGATTTTTTTTATGAAAAACTTGAAGAAGTTTTGGGACTGGAGATAATTGCGACTATGTAGCGATTTGATTCGATATTTAATTGAAATAAATAATAAATAAAAAAATAAATAATAAAAAAATAAATAAGAAATTAAAAATAAATAATAATTTGATTGAAAAATTTGGAATGCGAAGTAAAATATTATGTTATTCGGAAAATGTGCTAGATGCGGATAGAAATTTATACAATAATTACGGTTTTAAAAGGATCTAGTGATCTAACGGCGCATAACTTTTGAAAAAGAAGTAAAAGATATTATAAATGGTCCTAATTCTCGTGTAAAATTTCCCGTAAAAGTTATGTATTCAAGGTAAAAAGAAGAAAAAAAAAAGTTGCATAAATGAAAAGAATTATCCGGAAGTATCAGGCACAATAATCTTCATTCGAGTAAAAAAAGAAGCATCGTAGAAATCTCTGCAGGTAGAGAGTAGTACTTTTCCCAAATTTATGTAATCCAGCAAAAGAGCAGAGACACGTACGAATTACCACGGCTAATCCCGGCCAAAGGCTGATAAATATTCATTCCTCGGATTTTTCTTTTTTTTTTTATTTCTCCTCCCTTTTCATCCCTTGCTGAATCGAGCGGTGAAAATAAAAAAAAAAAGAAAGGTAAAGGAAAAAGTTCTCGGCCCAAGAAGATCAGAATGTCAAACAAACAATAATTCAGAACAACAGAATCCGCAATGGTTCCTTCTGACAGGTATAAATCGTTTTCGACGGTTTTGGATCCTTCCCCCTCCCACCCCCTTTCTCTCTAAGAAACAAAAAAGAAGAAACCGACACAAGGTGCACACACGAGAACCGCAAGCGGATCTCGTACGTTCGAAAAGTTTAACCACGATAAGTGCCGGATGATTTATTCATCTCACGACGCTGCAACCACCACCGGTACAAATTACGCATCCCGTTCAGAAAACCTTACCGTTACGTGACAGTAATTCATACGTCTGCATTAACCTAACGTAACGCTTCTATCCGGGGGAAGGAAGGGTCTCTAGAGTTTGCCGTGCTGCCCTTTTCGCTTGTACACCGTGTATTTTGATTCTTTTCGCTGGACGGATTACCTAATACAGGGTCGCAAAAGAGAAAATCGGTCGCGAAGTTTAAAATGAGCATTATGATTAGTTACGAATAATGTAATACGATAATGCCTCGAATTCTGATCACAGAAAAAAATTACTTGTCCAAAGGAAAAGAAGAATCTCTAGAGTTTGCAACGCATTGCTTATACATCGTGTATTCTGATTGATCAGATTTGAAATTGGAAAAATCGTCTATATAAGTCAATCAATGAGATGATGATTCCTGATTTTCCTTTGCTTGAAAATTTTCGTTTCGATTTTGTCAAAAAGATTAACGAAAGACATTGGCTAATCACAAAGCGTATAACTTGTCGTATCGCGATCTTTACAATTGTTTATTATGAGCAAATCAATAAATATATTTTTATTGTCGTTAAAAATACGTATTGCAGATGATATTAGATATTTTATAAACTTAATTATGCAAAAATTAAAAATTAAATTAAGAAATATATATGTACACTTAATATACCAAAAAAGAATAAGTTGTTAATTATGTCTCTATAGAAATGATCAAAATCAATAAACGATAATAGTTTTTATCTAAATGTAATTATTATTCACGGTTGAATAATTGAACGCTTATTATATAATTATTACACTATTTTATTATGATAAACAAAATAGGTAATGAATTATTAAAAACATGCAATTCTATATATAATTAAAATTTATGAAAACCGGAATATCTCTCAATTTATGAATACTAACTGATGATGAAACGCTCGAGATGCTAATTACAATTTGCGATAATTTATTATCTTATGGAAGTAAATTGATACTCTACTACATTCGAAATAAATATAATCTTTTGAAAAATTTACATTACAAACAATATGAATTGTCGATAAAATTGATGTTCGTTTGCTCATATATAAATCTTTCTAATACAAAAATATTTGCTTTATTATTAAAAATAGAAATAAGTGATTGAAAATTAAAAAAATGAATAGAAAAGATGTTGCAACACAATTATATTTTTAGAAAGAATTTATATTTAATTATATTAAGAATTTATATATTTTTATATAAGTGATGTTCAATTTTAATTGATTAATTAATGAACTTTCTTCTATTTTTCTTATTTCTATTTTTTGATTATATTTCTTAAAGGAAAATATTTTATTGTTACGAAACATTTATTGTTACGAAAATTCAACAGGTGTTTTACTTTTACAGAACATATCGATCAGAGTCACTACAGAACATCAATATAAATAATAGAAAGGTTTTCAATTAGTACTATTACTTAACCTCCCAAAGTGCATTAAGTAATATTCGATATCGAAGCATATATATATGTAATCCACACAGAGTATTTGCAATCCTATTGTTCTCAATTTAAACTCTATTAAACTTGTTAAATGAAATATCATCCACGAATATTTCTTATTCACGAAATTGAATCTGAACAACTATCTTTTTTCTAAGCTAAATAATCTAAACCTACGTATACATTAACCTAATTTAATCTATATATATTTTATGATATTTAATCTTGAAATTACTATTACATTTATGATATTTCTATATTTTATGATATATATTGACAACATAATTCGATATTCGAATTTACAACCAAAATATGCTTGAAATTCAACTCTAACCTTAATATTAACATATTATTTAACCAAGCATTTCAGACATGGCGTTTAGTTTTAGAAAATAAAATTTTCACATCACTAATAATGTATTATTCATTTCTCTGCATGTAAAATATAAATATGCATGTAAAATAGCATAATAAAAATAATAATATGAAATCAAATATAATATATATAAGAGCAATTTATAATAATAGTAATGATATTGATATGATAAGAACATAAAAACTAACCTCTTACGAAGAGAACTTCAGCACTTCGAAGATTTTATTTGAAATTCTTCAAGTTTGTAGAGGTCTTCAAACGAGTTATTAAAATAATTTGTTTCTCTTGTTTGTAAAATTGGATTGTTGAAAGTGAAAATACCCCTTAACCTTCATTTAATGATGCTTGAATATTTTTCGGACTCGAGAAAACTTTAACTACGTCTTATAAAATGAAATGAAACGTATATGTACTTTCAATAGTCGAATCTCGGGCTATAGAACCGATTGCATCCGACTTTCATCGAACCAAGCCGAAATCGGACTATCCGCTTTACCTTTGAGCCGAATTGAGTCTAGAGACCGCGAATAATACGAAAGAATTGTGATTATGTCCGATGCCATCCGAATTCTTCCGATCTATCCCGAATCTCAACGTACGTTTTTAATATTTGAAACGCAATAAGAAACGCAATAAGAAATCAAAAGAAAATATTCTAAAATATAAATTGTTTCAACGATCCAAACTTTATATATCCAATTATATATTAACTCTAATTATAAAATAACTTATGTTAGAATAATAAAATTCAATTATATCGTTGTAAAAAATAATAATTTAATTTAAATAATCCTTAAAATAATCATCTAACGATTCTGATATGTTAATTTGCAACAATCGATCGCTACTACATCGCACACTATTTTGATTTGTACTATCGAAAAGAAAATTAAATTAATTAATTATCTTTATTTGTACATCAACAATATTCGATTTTTGAGTTTTCAAGTTAAATTTATTTTTTCATTTTCTCTTTATCTATATAAGATTCATCGACAAGATTTTTTAGAATTATCGGCGACATTTAATGCGATTAATCATCAATATCGAAATTCATTCGTTTAGAAATTGATGAGATAGAGATTGATAGCTGCATTCGACATTAATACTGATTCAATTTTGACTGGTAAAGGACCAACTTGACACACGCTTTTGACAACATTGATTCTTGATATTTTGTTCGATAAAAATTTTTCAGAATCGGACTACGATACTATTATTAATAAAATACGAAATGAAAAAAAACAAAGGCAAAAATTCAAAAGGAAATACAAATACCTTGTGTGAAATTCGAAGAAAAGAATTTCGATTATTTCAATTATTTCAGTTTATTTAAATTATTTTTACATACCGATTTGTTTCTTTTTTTTTTTTTTACAAATACTTGAAAAAGAAATTATTTTCATTTTTCTCTTTTTTCTAATTTTACATTTTTTAATATATTTTTTAAAAAAATATTGATATTAATTATTATATAATATAGCAACATAAATATTTATATGCTTCTCATAAGCAAGTGGCGTAATATATTATACGCAAATATTAACTAAAATGATTATTATGATTGCTTTACATGGCCAAAGTATCAAATAAATAGTAACATCGATATAAATATTTTCAAACGATGGCGGGATTAATATTGCCGTTGATAAATTTCAACGCTAAATGAAAACGATTTAGCTAGATTCAAGTATAATCGAGGAACATTCGCATTTATTTAGGTCAAAGTAATAAACGTTAAATGTTTTTTTTTTTTTTTATTATTGTACGTGGTTTCTGATAATTGTAAATGTCTTTACCCGCAATCGTGGAATAAAATCGAATAATAACTTTTATAATTAAGAGATCGAGATATTAAAACATATTGATTTAAGATATTAACATTTATATCATAGATATTAATCGTATTTTTATTTATTTTTCCTCGTACAAATACGTGTAATCAACAGGTTTATATTTTTCTAAAATGGAAAATTAAATTAATTTTCTAGTTGAATATTAAAAATTGCTCCCGATTACTTCAATGTTTTTCAATTATCTGTTAAAGATATATGATAAAATTTAATTTATGATGCAATTTTTCCTGTAATTAATTACGTACGAATTAAAATGAAAGCAAATGTATAACATAATGAATATTTTGCAAACCTTTGTTAGAGACTCAAACGAGATAACTTGGATCCAACGCAATTAAATATATTTTGCAGTAATTTCTTTGTGAAATATCAAATCTTTTCTTTTTCTGTAAAAAAATTTTAATATTGAAAAATATTTAATAAAATTCTTCAATATTGATTTTAGTTTACTATTAAAATGTTTTCAATATATTTCGAATGTTTAATTTTAAAAAAATTTGTAAAGAATCTCGATAAATTTATTTGGATTTTCATAAATTTTTGGAAATTAGAAAATATTCCATTGATATTTTCAAATAAAAATAACAAAATTAATCATTAATAAAAATAAATCATCAAAAATTTGAAAGTATCTTGAAATATTTAAAAAAAAAAATGTTCTATCTAGGTTTCAAATAAAAATTAAATAAAAAATCCAAATCGCATAAAATTCTCTCTAAAATATTTCGAATAACAAAGACTGCAGAGACAAATTAATTGCGAGCCATTCTTATTACGAAAAGTAAACAAAATTTCATTTAATAACGTTGTTTCGTAAGTTGCAAGAGGATAGTTTTTTCCGTGACGATTCGCGGCAGGTTGAGAGAAAGCACGATTCACCACAGAATCGTAACACGTTGGAGTGAACGCTCAAGGGAATTTTTGATTAAAGTTTAATTTACAGGAATGGCTTGGTCCTGGCGTACTTTAAAATGAAATTTTTCATTCTTCCCTCCTCGCGCCCACTTATCATCTTCGTGACTGGACCACGCGGATGACATCTGCAAGTGTCACGAATTCTTTTCTATATTCGTAATCTCTGTAAATTTTCTTTTCTCGAAATTTGGAAAATCTTGTCAATTTCAGATTCGATCATTCGTATTGAAATATCGCATCTTAGAAATTTGACCATTCGATAAATGACAATGGAATTCTATTTATATGAATTTCATGAACTTTAATTTAATTTTTTGAATTTTTGTCGTCTAATTCTAATATTCAAAAATTTAAGAATTTGATAGAATACAATAAAATAAAATCGTGCAGCAAGTTTTGGGGAGAGTTTAATCTTCGAGTCTATTGTGTATTCAGTCGTGAAAAAATTGTTCAGTGTCTTTAAATGAGGAAAAAAAAATTTTTTTATTTTTTTATTTGCTACACGATGTAGAAAAATCTCTGAAAAAAAAAGAACTCAGGATTGTAAAAATTTCATTTCGCAAGGAATTTAAATAAATCGCTATTTTATATTCACTCTATTTAAAAAAAAAAAAAAAATACAAGTAGCTTTTAATCAATGAAGAAAATCGATAAAATAAATACAGAAACGAATAAAAATTCCACACTTGTCCGTCTAAGTCCCCTCTTTCCGCATTCATCTTGTACATTTATTCGATTCTTCCCGGAATCAACGACGTGCAACCGGAGAAAATTAACTTCGCAAGAAGTTAAACTTGCACGTTCGAAAGTATGATTGCATTAAAGCCGCCGAACGAATCCGCGTAAATTGGAAAGAGTCTTGGCGCGTGATTCTTTTCTTGATTTGTGTATCCTGCGTTAATCTCCTCTCCCTTATCTAACAAAATATTTTAACAATTTGAACAAATCGCGAAATGAAATTATAATAAGCCATAGATTAATTTGCCTATAAAATAAAGAATAATTTGTTCGATGCTTCTGATAACTTTGTTCGTTGTTGAAAATTTAATATTTTGTTATTTTTTTAACAGCGTAAAAAATTTTTACATGTCCATTTGAGAGTAAAATCTATTGCAAGTTGTTCTCGAATTTTAAAAAATTCTGACAATCATACATATTAAATAAAATTCGTAGAGGAATATTTGTAAAAATACGAGAATTCGCAAAAAATTTTCTAAAATTGTTTTGTACACAGAATGTGCCAAAGATGCTGATACAAAGTGAAAAAATAATAGAATAAAATTTTTTCATTTAATTTGTATCAATTATCGATAGATGATTTAGATATAGATATGAAAATAAATCTAAGATGTATTGTATCTAAAATAAAAAAATAATCAATTTTCCTTGTATTTGAAATCTCAATGAAAAAAATTTTATTCTATATTTTCGATTATTTTTTCACTATTATTCGTGAAATATAATATTAAAGCTATATATAATATCATAGCTATAATAAAAATTATTAAAAAATTATTTTCTAACATTTTTAATATTAAAAAATGAAAAAAAGAAAAAAAGTGAAAATGATAAAAAATTCAGAATGAATAATAAATTATTATGAAAAATATTTCCACTTCGATTTAAATCGAATTTTACTGTACCTCTATTTTGTTGTCGTATTGAAATCAATTATATGTACAATATTTAATCTTTTTCGATGTATCAATTTGCGTATAATATTCTCAAAAATATTCTTTCTCTTCGCTAAATTTACGCTGTTTCGTGTAAAAACTTTACGACCGTCGAATGTCAGCAAATTCACTGGCTACATAACCTCGCAGAGAAGAAATAAAATAGTTTCATCGTCACACGTGAAATCGTAATTTCGTTTCGACGTTCTTCAACCATTCCTCTGGATCGCAATACATATATATTTATTTTAGAAATTGGCGACAATATGAACATCCTTGTCCATATCGCGAAAAAATGATGAAAAGAAGGAAAAAGAATTCGAAATTTTTCTAACCGTAATGGAATTGGAAATGTAAGTAGAAATAATACAATACTTTCAAACAAAGACTTTGAAAAATTAAGAGAACGTAATATATCTTTATACTTTTAATAAAAAATGTAGTTTTTTTTAATAAAATGTACTTTTTTGCAATTAATATTTTATTATATTAAATAATTAAAAATTATTTGTCGCGATTTCAAATTGATTAATTAACCTTAACCTCTTCGATACGACGCGACGCGACGTTTGCTATAGTATACTACGCACTGAAACAATCGGTCGTATGTATTCGGTGATTGTCGACTAAAGTTGGGGATCGGTCGTATTTATTCGGTGTTTGTCGACTAAAGTCGACAATCGTACCGAAAAGGTTATTGTATACGTAAAATATAGAACAAAATCTTTTGATTTATCTAATAATGAAGCATAGATACATAGATACATAAAATACTAAATTTCGGGATATATTAAATTTTTAATATTTTAAGAATATATCTGACAATAAACCTATGAAAAATTACTTTTAAGAATTATTTTTATTCTCAATATTTTTTTTTTTTTTGCATTGAGAATAAAAATTATTCTCAACGTAATTTCCATTTACAAAAAATATTCTCAAAAATAACAGAATTTAATGTATTTTTGCATTCTAATACATACATCCGATTTATCAAAAACATTACATCTTTCTTAACATATATTTTAAAATATTAATTATTAAATTTCACATGTCTCATTGCA